AGAAAGAAGGCAAGAACATTCCTATGTATGTATGGGTCACTAATCTCAATTCTTTCGCTTTAAGGCTATGATCCCATTTTTGAGGCTTTTTCACACATCAATTAATCCAGCCCCTACACTGCATTTTCTCCAAAACTCTCCTGATCCAATGACTGTTAAGAATGTTTTTCATACAAGGTCACAGAGAAAACATACATCACCAAAATTATCTTCTTTTTAAAAATACACATTAAAATATTTGCTGCAGTGGTTCACACACAGAGAGCGGTATGTGCTAAAGTCGGGAGTATTCAGCAGAGCATCACAGAATTCTGCCAATTGTAACATTTGCCAAAAGCATGTTCTTTCATTCCACATCTCTTCCCTTTCCACAAATTCCACAGATAATCCAGGCCATAGGGTATTACAGGAGAAAAGTGGGAATTTATGAAAGAATGATGTACTCAAATCAAAAGGAGAATGCAGAATTGAGGCCTTCAAATATCTCCACTGCATCAGGAGGATACTTCAGAGTTCCATTTCAAAAATAAATATTGTAATTGAATAACCAAAGAAGTAAAAACATTTCTTTCTTTCTGTTTTTTTAGATTTATATCCCACCTTTCTTATGGCACTATGCCTGTCACTCATTCCTTCAATTTCACCCCGTAATATCTCCTATGAGAGAGAATGGTCTGAAAGAGAATGGTTGAACCAATGGTACTTAGTAAGATTCCATGACTGACAGTTAATTCATTCCCAATACCTTAAATAAGGCATTTTACCTGTACTAAAATAAATAAGAAGCAGAATCTTGTTGTCAAGAAGCCTTCCAATGCACAGACTAGTAAGTGTGTGTGTGTATCTGCTTACTAATCTGTGCATTATTTTATATAATAAATTTATTATTTTTTATTTATTTTATATAATAAATTTATATTAAATATAAATTTAATATAATACATTTATTATACACACACACACACACACACATAAACACACACACACACACAACAAAATTAGAATCTGCAGTGATCAAAGAAGCCAAATTGAGAAAGATTGCACTTGCATCATGTCCAGCAAAAATAAACTTCCCCAGTTCTTGTTGTAAGAAGCTTGTGTGAATTAAAATGAAAGAATTTGCTCTATAGAAGCAGATACATACGTCACGTAAGCTGTTTTATACTAAAATGTATCTTTGGTCATGTCAAAGTGATAGCGATTAAAAGTATGCCATATAAAGAGGATACAAGCACAGAGAACAGAGGTAGATTAAGATGTTCCACTGCAGCCCAGACTTTAAGTAATTAACATAATAATGTATTAAACTATTAAAAGTTTGTGATGATAGGCCTGTCTGGGTCTGGTAGGATAAAAAATAGGCAGCAGGCATGATTGTCTAAGAGTTACAGGGCTACTATATACTGTATGTCAGTAACCTGAATTAGGAATAGAAGCCAATGGGGGAAATGGAAGATTATATCAAACCTACTTAATATAGTTATGATGTCCACTTACATTTGTATTCTTTCTTTGTATTTTGTACTAACTAACGTTTTCACAGAAATGAGCCTCTGACACAAAGCATTATTCTGGGAGACATTTTCATGAAATCTGGGATTCATTTTTTTATTACAACTTGATTTCCCGCCCCACTCCCCCACCAAGAATTACCCTTTTCCAATGAGAGGCCGAGATCATTCTCCTTTTCATCTTGTACCAGAGAAGCTGTTGATGGCCTTTTTTCAAAAACAAAAAACAAAAACCTGGAGTAGAGATTTATCCATTGCAACTGATGATAGTTGTTTTATAAAAGTTAAATAGCTTGTGGACTGCAGCAGATATAATCAGATGCGGCCAATGCAAGATAACTTAGGTATCGTAACAAAACTGACATCCTTTCCTCCATCAGACACAGCTTTCTCATTCATGGTCCACATAGCAAAAGCAATTTTTGCATACCAAAAAAATTAAAGCAATTTTGTTCAATAAGGCTTTTGGTTTATCAGAAAGAGATAATTCTGAACCTTTTAATGCTTTGAGAAATTATTTCATTTTATAATTGCTTTTAATAGTTATTACTCCTCTGAGTGATTCTTTGTTCAGGAAGCAGGAAAAATACACATTGAAGTGTACAGACAACACATACTATGAAAGAAAAAGTTGAGTGGTGAAATAAAATATCAGACTATTGTCTGAATAGCAGACTTACACCTTGAAAGATGTCTCTGGAGATTTTCAGCCATCCCGGTCATGGTTGTCTCAAAGGTGCTTTTTCAAGAGGCAATTGGAGGTTGTTTTTTCTCTTGGATATGTTTCGCTTCTCATCCAAGAAGCTTCTTCAGTTGAACTTCTTGGATGAGAAGTGAAACGTCTTCAAGGAAAAACAAAGAAAGCCCAGTTGCCTCTTGAAACCTTTGGGTTGCACTTTGAGAAATAGTTGAAAAGCAAATAATAAATGCTCAGGTCAAATTTAGCAATATTGGTTGCATTTTTCCAATTTTTAGTGTTGTGGGCAAAATAGTTTTTAAAAGGCGAAATCAATACGTTGTTGTTCACATTATAACCAAGCACCCATATTTGATCAAACTATCTTAGATAGAGATGAAGGAGGAGAATTCTGTTCCATGGCAATGATTGTCTAGGAAGATTCTCAGACATTCAGGTCATAGTTGTTCCAAAGATGCTTTTTCAAAATCAATACGTTGTTGTTCACATTATAACCAAGCACCCATATTTGATCAAACTATCTTAGATAGAGATGAAGGAGGAGAATTCTGTTCCATGGCAATGACTGTCTAGGAAGATTCTCAGACATTCAGGTCATAGTTGTTCCAAAGATGCTTTTTCAAAAGGCAACTGGACTTTGTTTTTTCTCTTGAATACATTTTGCTTCTCATCCAAGAAGCGAACTGAAGCAGAACTTAAGATGCTTCTTAGATCAGAATCAAAACTTCTTCAAGAAAAAAAACCCAAGTCCAGTTGCTTTTTGAAAAAGCACCTTTAGAACAACCACAGCAATAATCTTCTGTGCATATATGCCAATGTACATAGATGATTATTTTGATCAAGATAAAATAATAACTAGGCCAAACGTATGACTGGATATGAGAGCTATGCTGGAGAATATACCTTAATGATAATTGTGCTTCTCAGTCTGTATAAGAGTTAAGTTCTTATGTTAGGAACCACGTTATTTCTTCAGAGCTTCCTATTTTAAAATGAGGTCTCTTGCATAGTTTAGAATCACAGCACTGTTTTACATAATTTACATAAGGACTAAATAATTCTGTCTCCATTATTACATCCCAATTTAAGACAAAACTGCATCATATTATCTCTGTTTCCTAACTTCATAATTTCTTTCCTTTGCTCTATGAGTTCCAGGGCCTTCTTGATTCTACTTATAAAATTTCATTTGGACCTAATATGCTAGTCATTTTCTAAGACTCAACACAGAGATTGAAAACTCAACTCCAACCAACTCTTGCCCGACATTAAGAGCTGTAGTGGTACAGTGATTAGAATGCAGTATTGCAGGCTAACTCTGCCCACTGCCAAGAATTTGATCTTGAATGGCTCAAGATTGACTCAGCCTTCCATCCTTTCAAGGTCAGTAAATAAGGACCCAGATTGTTGGGGAGTAATATAGTGATGTTGCAAATCACTCAGATAGTGATGTAAAGCACCATGTGACAGTATATAAGTGCTATTGCTATATCACAAAAACCATTGGTGTTTTTTTTAATTTTGCAAAGCACATCAATGAGGAAAGAGGTGGAAAATCTGTGACCCTAGGCAACACATAACTACCCCCCCTTTTTTTATTAGCTCTCAGACATATATTTGACTATGACTGTTGAAACCTGACAGCATAGTTTCCTGCCATTTTGGTATGCACACATATGACAACTGAAGCAAATCCTAAAATAGGCACGTCACAATTTAGAAGACAAGGAACTTACTCAGTTTTCTGGCACCCATCAGGTCTCTAGTTGGGAAATTCTGAGGATTGTATCTCAATAAAACTGAAGTGCACCTGAGGAAAAGTTTGGCTAAATTCTCTTTGCATCTGAGAATTAAGATTTCATTTTAAAAACTCCATTTTACCATATGGTTTGACTACCATCACCATACAATTGTATTTCAAAATGGAGGAACACAGTTGGGTTTACAATGACGTTAGCTCCAGAACAAAAAGTAAAGACAATATTGTTTGTATATGTTGCAGGTAAAACAATACAAAAGGTTGAAAATGGCAGTTTCCCTTTGAATTTTGGGATTACCTTTGTTAGTGTCAAATGCTGAGTGCTGGTAAAGAAATGTTATTGATTTATTTCAGTTTCTATGAAGAGAAGAAGTCTGACTTTCTATCTAATGTAGAAACAACTTTCCTAACTATTAGGAAGTTGGAGAAGGAGCAGAATGGTTACAAAAAGAAATGAAGTCATTTGAGCAAAACAAGATTACTAATGATTTACAGGAAAGGACTGCATTCCAGATTAAACCTTTCTCAAACAATCCTTTGTGCAGGATCTCTATTAGTTTCTGAAAAAAAGCTTTCGATGGGTATACATACACATGCATATATGTGTGTATACGTTGTGTATATACATAGATGCACACATACTTATACAGTAACAAAAAGAAAAGATGATTCCATCAAAGTTAAATAATTTGAAAACTTTTGATTATTGTTTTTAAGTGTCTAAAATAAGAGAGCAGTTTTCAAGATGGTGAGCGTATTTCACATCCATTGGAAAAATGGGGAAGAAAGGGATTTTTTTTGAGGGGGGGGGGAATAACTTAACTAAAAAAAAAACACACAGTACCATCCCTTGCCTAGTCAAACGAACTTTGCCTGGGAAAGCTGCAACACAGATGCACAGGGAGAGTAAAAGTGATAAGAAGATTAAAAGTACCCTCTGTCCTTATTGCACGAAACGATTTTGAGAAAGCTTTGCACTAATGGAAACAAACTTCCACCATCTTCTCAAATCCGAACCCAACAAGTCGCCTACCTTCAGGACTTCCATTGGCACCTGAGTCGCAGGAGGGAGGCTGGCGGGGAGGCTGACGTTGATGGCAGGTGTCTGACTCACAGCCCCTCTCTGCTGCATGAACTGAGTTGCCTGCTGCTTCTGTCGCTGCTCTCGGCGTTCTTGCTCCTGCATTTGCTCACGCATGAGCTGCTGTCGTAGCAAAATCCGTGATGTCATATTGGAGGAGCTTAGCGGAGGCTTGGAAGCTCCAGGGTGCTCCAAACTGCTGAGGGAAACACCAGAGAACACTCATCACTGCTCAGTAAATATTAGCTGGAGTTGAAAGAGTCAGGCTTTGGGATGGGATATTATTGGATGGGCTAGGAAGCAGGCAAAAACTTTTGCAAGGGTAGAAAAATGCATATCCGGAGTGTGAATCTACAGATTACTGGGGCTGACATCCATTTAACAGAAAAAAGTTCAGCTACATTGTAGTCTTCTCAGGCTCACTTAACTCTTGTAATTTTTACATTGTTTTTATATTTATACTTGTTCTGACGTTCATATTTTTATTGCAGTTTAAGTAGCCAGAGTCACTTTGAATAGCGAGATGAGTGACATATAAATTTGATAAACAGATAAATAAATAATGACCAGCATTGCTTTGCTAATTCAGAAAAAGAGAAAGAAGGTATCTTTGACTCTTTCAGTCAGAATTCTCTTATTTCATTTTTCTTTTTGGAAGGGAGAAATTCTGGTGTGTGTTTTTTTGAATGCATATTGGCCCAGTAATCATACTGAAAAAGGAACTGCATACATATCAATTCAATAAGAGATTCCTTTGATCAATTTATTACTAGACTGATATTCTCTCTTTATTTTTGACAATTCAAGATGCACATAATGCTTCTGTCTCCTACTTTTCCCACAACAACCCCATAAAGGGATTTGGGCCAAGAGACAGTGACTGTCTCAAAGTCAGCTTTGATACTAAGACAGCTTTCATACTAAGAGAGGACCTGAATTCAAAGGTCTAGCTCAGGGATATCAAACTTGCATCATCACAGCAGTGTCACATGACATATCAGGACTTTTTTCTCCTTCACTAAACTGAGTGGGGGCGCAGCCAGCACGTGACGCATCCAGCCCACAGACCGCGAGTTTGACACCCCTAGTCTAGCTTAATGGGAACTTTCTACTCAGCTCAATTGGGCTATCACCCAGCTGCTGAAGTAAAGAATTGCTATAACAACACAGGAATGCTGTACAAATAGTCCTCAACTTACGACCAAAATTGAGCCCAAAACTTTTGTTGTTAAGTGAATCTTGCCCCATTTTACGACCTTGCTCGCCACAGTTATTAAGCAAATAACTGAAGTTGTTAAGTTAGAAATATGGTTAAGTGAATCTGACTTTCTTCACCGATTTTTCTTGTCAAAAGGTCGCAAAAGGTGATCACACAACCCCAGAATACTTCAATCATCATAAATCTGAGTCAATTGTCAAGCATCTGAATTTTGATTACATTACCATGGTGATATTGCAATGGTCATAAATATGAAAAACAGTCATAAGTCACTTTTTTCAGTGCCGTTCTAACTTTGGACAGCCACTAAATGAACTGCTGTAAGTGAAGGACTACATGTTCAGGGAAAATTACTGTCTGAAAACTTTGTGAGAAAACTGGTGAATGCCTAAGTAATGCAGCTTTGTCTGGACAATCTCCTGCAGAATTTTGTTTCAGATCCTGCAATTATTACAATGATAGGGTCAAAGTTTTGTCAAGATGAACAAGAAATGGTGTTTTTTTTCCTCAAGCATTTAAAAGTTATTTGTGAAACAGGTACATCAATTGATATTGATTGGTGATTGCTAATTTACTGTATCAAAATATGTATCAAAATATTGGGGGAAATCAGTGGTGGGATTCAAAAAATTTTACTACCAGTTCTGTGGGTGTGGCTTGGTGGGCGTGGCATGACTTGGTGGGCATGGCAGTGGAAGGATAGTGCAAAATCCCCATTCCCTCCCCACACCCACTAACCTGCTTTCCAGCTCTGTTCTCCTGTGCAGGGCAACAAAAGAAGACCCAGCCGATCAGCTGGGACTCAGGGGACAGAGAATAGATGGGGGCAGGGCCAGTCATAGATGGTATTTGCTGGTTCTCTGAACTGCTCAAAATTTCTGCTACTGGTTCTCCAGAACTGGTCAGAACTTTCTGAGTACCACCTCTGGGGAAAATGTCATCAGTGAAGGTGATTATTTAGATGTTGTGAGTAGAAGAAAATGGGTTGACTGTTTATGTAATATTTAAAAAGTATTAAATATATTAGTGCTTAAGACAGAAATTTTAAATAAGGGATTAGGCTAAAGAGACACAAGGGATAGGATAGGATAGGATAGGATAGGATAGGATAGGATAGCATAGGATAGCATAGGATAGCATAGCATAGCATAGCATATCACAGGATAGGTAGTAGGTACATAGCTAGTTTAGGAACATTATGAATACAAATATGAATCATTTAATTCATTTTATTGTTCTTTCTTCCTGAAAATTCCACTGAAATATATAATAAACAAGCAAACCTCACTGTTGCAACATAGATCTAAGCAATGTACATTTCAAATACTAGCAATGCAAGGAAATAAAAACTGTAGCAAATTTGTCAATCTCACAAAATGCACGCATACACACCACACGATTTGACTGGAAGCAAATGAGAGGGAAGAAAGCTTATTTCTTATAATCTTCTCCAGAATGCTTATTACCTGAATCCAGTGGTTCATTTGGCATTTCAATAATCCAGACTTTGAAAGGTGCACATTTTTGGATATTTCCCAACCCCCAACTGCCAAATGGATCAAATACAGATTTTTTTCAGACCACTAACAATTTATTCCCTTGCATTCTCTCCCCCCACCCGTCCTTCCAACAGAGGTGAGATTGGAATGGAGAACAACGATTGTGTTACTATTCCAAGCCTGTCAGGTTGCAACATTCCCAAGGAGAATGATCCGTTTGATAAACTACAAAAAAACCTTTGTGGTAAACCTATGCATCTGTGGAATAATCGGACTAATTAGCTGTTCAAGAGAAGTCACCAACGGCGATGCTCAGGCATAAATGGGAGAATTTTCAATTAATAGTGAAGAATTCTCACACCCTACAAAGTATCACAGGGTCAACCTAACATTTAAGATGGGAACGTTCGTCTTGTTATTGGATTCAGCTATTGAATAACATGAGTTATAAAATCCTGCAAGACAAATAACTCAACCAGCATGGAATCAAACTAAACATACATTGTGGAGATGTGTTTAACTAGCATACAATAAGGATTTCAGATGCTTTGCTGAAATAGGCTTCTAAAAACATACTTTCATTAGCAGTATATATCATTATAACCTGTCTGATAAAAATGACACCCAATGTCAAAGATACCTGGAATTGCAGCAGCTTTAAAAGATGCCGTGCTTTTGTAGTGAAACTAACAATTCTGTTATATATTAAACTAAAAACATAAGATGAAAGTACAACATTGGTAACATCCATGACACATGGAATAAGGAATTAGATATCCAATTTTGGGAAATCAGTGCATCTAAGAAACAGAAAATCTCTCTTTTTATAACAAGACAGAAAAAAAGAAAAACTTGTTACATGTTTATTGGGAACTGTAAGAAAGTAGTAAATAGGTTGACTATCTAATTTCTTACGCTACTAATGAAAGAAATTTTGAGGGCCCAATGACTCATCTAATTTGATCATCTCCAGCAGTGGTTCCCTTTCAACTTAATTATTGCTTTGGGAAAATTATAATGGTTAAAAATGTAATTACCGTATTTGCCAGCGTATAAGACGACTGGGCGTATAAGACGACCCCCCCCCCACTTGGAGGCATGTTTTTCAGGGCAAAAAAGTTGTCTTATATGCCGGCAAATACGGTAACTAATCATCCAATATTTACACAGTGTGTATGTTATTCTGTGTTGGGAGTGAAGGATGTTTGAACTCTCTTAGATGGACTGTCTAAAGGAGCGTGTCTCCGAGTAGGCAGGCGTTACTTCAGAACCCTGGCCCTTCCTGGCAGAGTCCCTCGGGCTTTCCCGCAACAGATTCCTCTTGCAACGCGTCCGCTAGGTCAGCCAAACGATCCCGGCGGGGTCACCGGAAACGCCCTCCAGAAATCCCCGGGGCTGCAGCGGCAGGGCGGAGTGCCAGGGGCCGTGGGAGGAGCAGGAAGGCGGGCAGCCTTCACATGGCCCTGCCTGGGGCGACAGGAGCGACCCACACTCTCGTTCCCCCCAGTCGCTGCAGCCTCGGGCGGAGCGAGGTAAGCGGGATTCGAACCTGATTCAGAGACGCGGGGAGGCTCTTGGCAGAAGCGACGCGTGGGATCCGGGAAGCCAGAGGCGCCTTCGCTGCGTCCCACAAGCATCCGAAAGCCGGCAGTGGATATATAAATTCTACTCCCAAAATATGGGATCTTACATTATATAAAGAATTTGGCTCATCAAGCCTGGAGTTTGGCATAAAGAATTATTTTATGAGAAGAAAGAAATTTACTCCCCTGATATTAAGAATTGATCCTAGATATGTGTTGTTTAAAGTCAATTTTGGAAATAAATTTACATTTTAAAAGTGAAAATATGAAACAGTATGCTTCTGGATGGTCTAGATTTAATAATAAGTTTTGGAATGTACTTCTTGATTTTTCACATTTCTAAAGTTGTAGAACTTCTTGATAATTCTGAGTGGTGTGCAAAATTAAAACTAAGATACAGCACAGCACCAGGTGAAATAAGCAGATTGTCCTCCTAACAAAAAAGTATAAACCACACTCACAAAGAAATTCACTTTCCACTCTAGCCCAATGCCTTCGGTGGAAAGCCAAGTCTTCAAAGCTTGTTTAAAGCAGACAAAGGTGTGGGGTTTTATGTTATTTCAAAGGAAATGTGCCACAATAGAAAAGATGCTTCTCCGTTCAGTTTAATAGATGGGACTTTTTGGTTTGATCTTTTATTTTTGGTTTGATCATTTATTTTATTTCATTTATTTTATTTTATTCACAAACATTTCACTAAATTACACTAACTATTTTATAATCATATGTTGTTTCCAATTTTCTAAAGTTATTTCTATTACAAATATAACAATACAATCTTATCTACCTTTACAGAATCCCTTTTTCAGTTAGATTTTTACCCATTATCTCTAAATAGGTCCTGTTTCTTTATATCTTGCTCTGGACCTTTGTAACTTCTTTTCCTTTCCTTTTT